ATCATTGATATCCTCCACTGATAGCCCAAAATAGAAATTTCTAAACAGATATTTAGACAATTAAATTCCAAAAATTCTGATAAATACAATCTATTCCACATCTCATCAAATATGAACAACTACACTAGTTTTCATATCACAATCACGTCCGGTAACCTCTCAAGGTCCATTTCTAACCGTGTCGATTTTATTTCAACAGATACATTAAGCAAAATAATACCTTTAATGTCCAAGAAAACATCATTTTCTTTCCAAACTCATTTTCCAAGCATTATTCAACAATGACATCCTATTTTGATCAGAAGTCCTAAAAGTTAAACATAATTTCTTTGTTTTCTTTAAAAATGCTCTTTTGATCGCAAACCGGTAAAAATTTCAAAATCGATCGAATCGAAGTCTATTTTTGTTCAAATTTAAAACATAACTCTTTCATAACCTTATAAACATATTCCAAGCTTACACTTTCGCAATTTGGGCATTAACTCTTTATTTTTCTCAAAATTTTAAGCAAATAAATCACAAATTTTCTAAAAATTCTAATTAAATTATGTACAACTCTAAGCTCCATATAATCAAATAAAAGTGCATGTCTTCCAACCCCACTTCTTTCTCCCTTTTATTTATCCGCTTTCGATGGGTAGATTAGGGACACTTTTCAATTAGCATACATTATGCTCGCATGCGTGCATCATTTATTTGTCTTGCATGCATCGAGGCTCGACGTATAATTCAAACTGCATTGTATTTCAATACTTATTTAAATACGTGTTTAAAGCATGTTATCAAATTGTTGCATTCATATGCCATCTTAGATAGCCGAGCCTATTTAAATTTCATTATTGCATGTGTTGCATTAGACATTTTGTATAGTTTGGATCGTGCATATTTCTAACTAACTTTTGTTTTGGCTTGGAGTACTCAGTGAGTTTTATGTTTTAGCATGCTTGCACGTGTGTAAGTAACTGTCATGATAGCATGCTTGTCATGAAGCTATTTGCTAAAATAATTAACTGCATGAATGCCTGTAGATGAAAGTTTTGTTGCTTGAATTGGAATGATTCAACAAATGTGAGTTTTAAGCCCATCATGTTTGATGGCAAATCCGCACTTTAGCCCACTTGAGAGTGGTATTTTCAAACCATTTTCGAAAACAAACATGAGTTAATTTGTTCCAAGCGACTTAGTCTATACTTGCTTGCGAGCATACATAGTAAAGTTAGCTAATAACCGGAATAAGAATGCATGTGTTTATAAAACCACATATCATGTTTAGTAGAGGCCGATCTTTGATCGGACGAGCGGGAGTGCTCATTTCAGGACCTTCCCCTCTCGTACCCAAGTTCCCGAACCGAGGCAACTTTGGTGATAACGGACACGTGACCTTTGGCACGAGTTAGGGTTTCTTAAATTTCCCAAAAATAAAATATTTAGGTGGCGACTCTGTAATCTGACAAAGCAGTCCAATTTTGACATTATTTGATTCAAAATCGATTTTCCAAAATGATTTGCCAGATTAGACTCTTTGGTGTTTATCAGTCTCACATTTCACTTTGTGAGATTAAATTCAGAACCGTGACAGGAGTCCAAACTGTAGAACCAATTCGAGCTCTCCAAAAGGAGGCGCAAAGAAAGTCGAGTCTACAAATACCAAGATAGTACTAAAATACATTAGGTTGTTATTCATTGAAGAAGTGGTACTTGAATGGATTTTGCACTCTTTCTGGAAGAACAGATCAAGTCTGGAAGGATCAATCTCTAGCTCCACTACAATCAAAATTCCTGGAAAGTACCCGCTACAATTGCAAATTAACAAAGGGAAATGTTGAGAAACAATAATTCTAGCTAGAAGTACTACCAGAAAAATTTAGGCATGTCAATACAAACACCAAAAATTACAAAGATAATTAAAAATTCAAATTAACAATAAAAAATTTAGTTTACTTTGCCAACCACAAACAGAAACACAAAATTAACTAAACAAAACCAATCAATATGCAAGTTGTATATACACACATATATGTACATATATGTTTTTTGAGCATATATATGTTTACCATTTTATCAATGGATTCAGCAGAGCATGTCATGACAAGCATGTCAAGCTAGTTTGTTCAAATTTCACTATAGGTATGGATCATAAATATTATACTAATATAACCGAGAAATAAATTAGATGAGATAAAATGAAATAATATCAAGATTAATAGTAAACAGATCAAAGGAGTTCAATTATCTTACCATCCAAATCCAATACTAGGGTAGTGGATTTCATTTTCTGGTGTGATCATGGATATGCTTTACATATACAAAAGATATTTCAAAATCTAAATATTTTAGTTCAAGTTTTGCAGAACTAGCCACCTTGTTTGGTTTAGACTGATTTTTTGGCATAAGCTGATGCCCTATTCTAGCCATTAGAGCAGAAGAATTGATCAATATAATGTAAGAATATCATTCTCATAAGAAGTTGCCACAACAACTATAGTCACCAAAAGCCAAAGAACCAGAAAAACAAACAAAAACCCAATGAACCTTCAACCTTGTGATCACATTTTTTAGAAAATCACCAATCCATCATCCAAGTTTCAAAGATCAAAACACAAAATCAATGACTCTACTTGTTAATGAAGAATTAATTGCTTTCACCAACCAAGCCACACAAACCTTAAACAAGACAATGACATCCACCTAATTGAGACTCACAAAGAAAGTTAAAGTGACATACTATTTGTCAAAGTAAAAATGTGAAATAGGATGCTGCACCCACAATTATACAATGCCTGCATATATATGGCAAATCTACATAAAAACTAACATCGAATAAGATAATGGGTTCGCCTTAGGATGCATAGAGTTTTCTTGCTTCATCATGTCCACAACCTTGGCTGTAAATTGCTTCATTTCCGCCTAAAACAGAAGTACATTGAGCATATTTAGGCCATCAATTTAAAATTTAATAGCAGGACAAAGTGAGAGGGAATACCTTGAATGGCTCATTATCAATTTGAAACTGAATTCCAAGTACGAAATGCAACCAAAGAGCAAATCCACTGTTCAAAAACAGAGTCTATAAGGCAAAGTTCACTGATAACTTAAGCGGTGTAGTGGATCTAGATAAGCTTCTAAAGCTTAAAAATCTGATCTGCCTTGATCTCTCACATAATGGTTTCTCATTGAGCATCAACAACAATATCAACTCTACCTTGACCAACTTTGAAACTATAAGATTAGCTTCTTGCAACTTGAGCGAATTCCCAAACTTCTTGAGAGAACAAGCCAGATTGCGTTTTCTAGACCTTTCAAACAACAAAATTCATGGTGAAGTTCCAAAATGGTTATTCAATAAATCTTTCTCATAATTTCCTTACAAGTTTAGAGCGTCTTTCATGGAAGAATCTGGGATATATTGACCCGCACTTCAACTTACTCCGAGGACCACTCCCTGTTCCACCTAACACCACATATGTTTTCTCTATCTCAAACAATAAATTGACCAGAGAAATCCCTACATTGATTTGCAATCTAAGTTCACTTGGAATTCTTGATCTGTTTAATAACAATTTGAGTGGGTTGATTCCACAATGTTTGGGAAACTTCAGCAATAGCCTCTCGGTGCTGAATTTAGGGATCAATAGCTTTCGTGGCACATTTACTACAACATTTACTAAAGGCAACGTGCTAAGGAATCTTAACTTGAATGGCAACCAAATTGAAGGACAAGTTCCGCGATCGTTGCTCAATTGTAGACACTCGGAAGTTCTAGATCTTGGAAAAAATAAGATAAATGATACATTGTCCCACTGGTTAGGAACTTTTCAAAACTTGCAGGTTCTTGTCTTGAGATTTAATATGTTTTATGGTCATATAGACACCTTCAAGACCAAGGACAAACATCATTTCCCCAAGTTGAAAATTATCGACATATCTTACAATGAGTTCATTGGGCTTTTGCCAACAAACTATATCAAACAATTTGAAGCTATGATGAATGCGAATGAACATGAAATGAAATTAAAATACATGGGTGAATACTATTATCAAGATTCTATGGTGGTAATGATGAAATGATTTGAAATTGAATATTCAAGAATCTTAACGGTCTTCTCAATCATTGATTTTTCAAGAAACAAATTCCAAGAAGACATTCCGAAATCCATTGGGAAGCTTAATTCGCTTCGGGGTCTTAACTTATCCCAAAACAACCTCAAAGGTCACATCCCAACTTTACTTGGAAATTTAACGAACTTTGAATCATTAGACCTTTCCTCAAACGAGCTTGTTGGGGAGATTCCTCAGCAATTGACAAGTTTGAAGTTTCTTGCCGTACTAAACCTTTCGGATAACCAACTAGCGGGACAAATTTCTCAAGGGAGCCAATTTAATACATTTGGGAATGATTCATACAATGAGAACTTGGTCTTGTGTGGATTCCCCTTATCAAATAAATGTGACGAACAGCAACCATTGCCACCTCCACCAACATTGCAACATGATGAAAATTCAGATTGGGAGGGCAGATTTACCTGGATTCCCTTTATTGTGCTACTTGATTGAACAGATCTAGTTTTGAAATAAAAACATTAGCAACCCAATAATAGCATATACATAGAAACCATAAAAGATAATTCAACAAAGTAATGCTTCAAAGATAAATTCTACTTACCTAAATGATGCCATTTGTTTTTTGCTAATTTCTTCCTTTACTGCATCAGTGGGCACTCTTCTTGGACCTTTTCACCTTCTTATATTGTTTTCCTTCAACAATTTTCATCAGCTATTCTGGACTTCGAGTTACTAACATAAGATATCCCATAACCATTCCAAATACAAAGCCACATCCATACCCAATAACAACAACTTTCCAGTTAAACCTTCCCTCCCAATCTGAATTTTCATCATGTTGCAGTGTAGGTGGAGGTGGCAATGGTTGTTGTTCCTCACATTTCTTTGATAAAGGGAATCCACATAACGCCAAGTTCCCATTGTATGAATCATTCTCAAACGTATTAAATTGGCTCCCTTGAGGAATTTGTCCCGCTAGTTGGTTATCCGAAAGGTTTAGTACGGCAAGAAACTTCAAACTTGTCAATTGTTGAGGAATCTCCCCAACAAGCTCGTTTGAGGAAAGGTTTAATGATTCAAGGTTCGTTAAATTTCTAAGTAAAGTTAGGATGTGACCTTTGAGGTTGTTATGGGATAAGTTAAGACCCCGAAGCGAATTAAGCCTCCCAATGGATTTCGGAATGTCTCTTTGGAATTTGTTTCTTGAAAAATCAATGATTGAGAAGACCGTTAAGATTCTTAAATATTCAATTTCATATCCTTTCATCATTACCACCACAGAATCTTGATAATAGTATTCAACCAGGTATTTCAATTTCATTTCATGTTCATCCGCATTCATCATAGCTTCAAATTGTTTGATATAGTTTGTTGGCAAAAGCCCAATGAACTCATTGTACGATATGTCGATAATTCTCAACTTGGGGAAAGGATGTTTGCCCTTAGTCTTGAAGGTGCCTATGGGACCATGAAACATATTAAATCTCAAGACAAGAACCTGCAAGTTTCAAAGAGTTCCCAACCAGTGAGGGAATGTATCATTTATCTTGTTTTTTCCAAGATCTAGAACTTCCAAGTGTCTACAATTGAGCAAGGATCGAGGAACTTGTCCTTCAATTTGGTTGTCATTCAAATTAAGATTCCTTAGCACGTTGCCTTTGGTAAATGTTGCAGTAAATGTGCCACGAAAGCTATTGATCCCTAAATTCAGCACCGAGAGGCTGTTGCTCGAGTTTCCCAAACATTGTGGAATCAACCCACTCAAATTGTTATTAGACAGATCAAGAATTCCAAGTGAACTTAGATTGCAAATCAATGTAGGGATTTCTCTTGTCAATTTATTGTTTGAGATAAAGAAAACATATGTGGTATTAGGTGGAATAGGGAGTGGTCCTCGGAGTAAGTCGGAGTGCAGGTCAATATATCCCAGATTCTTCCATGGAAGACGCTCTAAACTTGTAAGAAAATTATGAGAAAGATTTAAATTATGCAATGAATCTCTCCCCATATTGAATAACCATTTTGGAACTTCACCATGAATTTTGTTGTTTGAAAGGTCTCGAAAACACAATCTGGCTTGTTCTCTCAAGAAGTTTTGAAATTCGCTCAAGTTGCAAGAAGCTAATCTTATAGTTTCAAAGTTGGTCAAGGTAGAGTTGACACTGTTGTTGATGCTCAATGAGAAACCATTATGTGAGAGATCAAGACAGATCAGATTTTCAAGCTTTAGAAGCTTATCTAGATCCACTACACCGCTTTAGTTATTTGATGAAAGCCGCAAGTATGTTATTTAATTCTGCTCCTCGCAACATCAACTTCAGTTCATCCTCAGTAACATATGGTTCACTAGTACCTGAAAATTGACAAGGTCAATTGACAGCAGTATCTTATAGCCACAATTTCACGAAAAAATTGCCGACCAATAACACTGAAAGTTTATAATTGAGTATCGAAGAAAAAATTAGCCACGCGCGGAAAACATGCAGAACAGAATACCATATAGGAAGTTAAAAAATAAATGATAAGCATACAGATTCACATGACTTGTATTCACTGCAAACAACTTCTTTCATCCTCTCCTACTACTTATATTCACTATTCACATGACTTGTGATGCAAAACACCACACAAACAACTAGAACATCCTTATAACCACCAATAATAAAAATTGCAAAGTAACAAAAGTTCAGATATTGTCAAGGCATCCTACAGAAAATGTCTTATTCATGATTTTTCTAAATTTATTTGCTTCACCAAATCCTTGAAATTAATAATTATTGTTGATGAAAAATTGCCTTAGAAACAACAAAAACATCCCAGAAAATACTAGGGAGAGTTATGCTTAGGTCTTAATAGGTGGACTTATTGTCCAATAGATCCTATGATAATTAATGGCATTTTTCATCAAACACTATTAAAAAACAGTCACTAATTATTAATTTTCAGCGACAGTTTCAAAATTGTCCCAAAAAACACCACTAATTATAAGTTTTAGCGATAATTTAAAAAAATCGTTACAAAAAAATGTCACTAATTTTCAACTTTTAGCAACAGTTTGAAAATTTTATCACAAAAAAACGTCATTAATGGTAAGTTTTAGCGACAATTTATAAAAAACCATGACAAAAAAAGGTCACTAATTGTCAATTTTTAGTGACACGCAAAAAATCGTCACAAAAAATTATTTTTAGCGACGATTTTTCTAGAACTTATTTTCAATAAAACTTGATAAGATTTAAGTCTAACTATTATGACTTATTGGTAGTTTACCCAAAATACTAATAGAAACTTGAACAGCACTGGAAACATCACCAATAAAACAACATACCGTAAAGACCAGAAGAAATCATCAAAAGCAGCTATCTTTTCTTCCCTCTTTCGATAAAGATACTAGATACAACATGACATAGAAGTTACAAAGAGATCAAAGCAGGTTCAGGATAAAGCACACCTTCTTCCTTTCAGACCAAGCATTTTTAGCATTCTAACAACTCTTCCAACAGGATATAATATTAAGGAAAGCCACGCCACTTGCCTGACCTAGAGGCATTGCAAGTGACACAGGTTAAATTAACTTAAAAGCACTCATATCAACCCATCACACAAGAGACAAAAAGAACTCTTTTATGGTGACTGTCAAAAACTCCAAGTGATCATTGGTTCAATTCAAAAGAAAGAAGCAACTTCAAGACTTACCACAAACCTAGCAGCCTCAGTGACGTTGTGAACAGCTATACTTTTTGGAGTAATTTCAGTGAGGAGCAAAACAGCAACCTGATATATCATTAAAGGGATAATATCTGGTTTATGACACACATCAATATATAAATGAGTTTCTATGCAGGTACTAACTACTAGCTAGAATACAAGAAAGCCAAATATGTATTTATAGCAAATACAATCTCAGCAACTTTAGACTGACAAATTCTAAATTAGGAGACCCACTAACAGCTATATGGATTTGACATTTGGAGAATAATCTTCTATGGCCTAAAGCATTAACGATAGCATGTTTGGGCATTTGAAATCTCAAGCTTTATTTTTATCCCAAAATTTTCGCTATTGAATATATGTCCTTCAACTAATTAAACAAGGAAACTTTTTTTTTGGATAAATAATTAAACAAGGAAACTGAGACATACAGTCATCACCCCAGTAGCTGCACTCACACCAGCTTCACCAAATATCGTCGTTGCTGCTTTTGTGACAGGTGCAGTTGCTCCAATGTTTACCACACTGCACATAAATAAAATCTACAATAAGACATAATATTCAGAATCATGTTGAGAGAACAGCACCAATGATGATTGCAAGTACAGGAAGGGCAATACGTTGTGCCAATATGTATAGTTGTTAGGAACCACGTAACATCAATGCTAAGCATTTTGAAAATACCATCCTCAGATTCCTTTTCAGCCAACTCTCGCACCTGGTATACATCAATATCAAATAAACAATGACAAGTTCCTAATTTTAAAAGAAAAAAACAACATGCATGTGTGCACATTGACACAAGATTGCAAAATTTCTACAGGCTGCATTCTTTTCTATGATCATTAAAAGATAATAGTAGCCTATAAACATAGAAGCACCCGATTGCATGAACATGTATTAAAAAGAACAGCAGCCTTAAACATAAAAGTAACCAATGGTGGTTTAGATACAATAGTACATCCCTTTTTTATAAGCACAATAATACATCCCTTCTGTCTTCAAAAACCTTAAAACCACAGACCATTCTAAGCCTTAACTGCAAATTAAATGTTGTAGATGGCTATTAAACTTCTGACCGTTATCCTACATCATTATATACAAAGCGTATTTTCCATTCAATCACAACTAGCTCCACCATCCATTGATTTTTCAACCTAAAACCTAATTCCTCAACCTCAACTCTCTCCCTGCCTTGTACAACTTAACACCAACTACCCAAAATTAGTTGTAAAAAATTCTTGTCAGTTAAGAAATTTTAACAGCCTTTAAATCCAAGTCTATTCTGGCTCTTCCTCACGCTACAAAGTCTAGAACCTTTCTTTCACCCTTTCAAAGCCAAATCATAGAAGATATCACACAACACATGCAGTGAAGAAAAAAATTCTGCCCTACAAAATGAAAAGAGGTTCTTTTGACCCCTCGAAAAGAGGTTCTTTTGACCCAAAATTAGTATAATTAATTGAAAAAATAAAATTTATAACTGCTCTCCAATATAATGATAAAATTACTTAAGTTATTAATTGAAATAAATTTATAATGTTATTAAAAACTGTTGATTTACTTTATAATTTATTAATAAAAATGGTCATTTATTATGAAATTATAAATTTCAAGAGCTGAGATGTAATTTCTAAAACACATAAGATAAATCATATTTTAAGCAAATTTTAAAAAGTGAATTTGTAATTTGTCTTTTTTTTTTAGAAAAATTAAAAGGGTAAATTATAATTACACCTGTTTAAAATACAGATTACATCATATAATTTGAAAAATTATAAATACCCACTTGTTAGAATTTTTTATTTAACATAATTAACTAAATAAAATAAAATTTCTAACTGCTTTAATATACAATAATAAAATTACCTAAATTAATAATTAAAATAAAATTTTAACATCAGTAAAAACTGTTAATTAGTAAGATATAATTTTCAAAACCACATGGGGTAAATAATTTTTTAAGCAAATTTTAGTGGGTGCTTTTGTAATATATCCAAATTAAAATATGAGTTGAAAGAATTGAAAGTGTTTGGAAAATATTTTTGCTTTTTGTAGACACCCCATTTTGACCAGTTCTAAGATTTTGACGCTTTCTTTTGACCACCCCATGATAAAAATTGAAATATGCCATTGTATGAATTTCTCAACAAAAAATTCAAATTGAAACTTTAATCTCAAACCTCATCCATTTTGGCCAAATTTATAATTTGTAATATTTTATAATTTGGTGTGTGTACATGATTTTAGGTGTTTTTATCAAAACCAAAAACAAAATACAAAAAAAGAAAAAGAAGAAATACAAAAAATAGTATGGTCAGGAGAATATCCTGTTTTTGGGTAGGATGATTATATTTTATGAGTGAGTGAGTGAAGAATATTATATTTTTAGGAAAAAAAGAAAAAAGAAAGCAGAGGCTGGCTACATTTATTTTGGAAAAAAGAAAGGTAGTGGTGAACATGGTGTATGGGCAAGATGATTATGTTTGTTTTGGTGGAAAGAGAATATTTGTAGAAAGAGAATAGGTGTTCATGTGAGTGGGGTCATGGGTGATATTGTTTTGTTTAGAGAGAAAAGGTTGTAGAGAGAGAGAAGGTGACAAAAAAAAAATAATAAAAGAGAGAAAACAAAAGCTGTAACGCCCTCAAAATAATAACAATAAATCCATCAGATAAGACATGCATTTACATTTAAACTAATCGCATTCCTTTCATTCATTAGAATTCCATTACATAAGTATTACATGTTAACCTCATAACAAAATGCCCTACGGGCTTACAGCTTTCCAAGTTAACACTTGGTTACAACAAAGAGTTCTAACTCGTTTACACATTAAGCCCTTGGCTTGAAATTACATGTAATACATCAACAGTAAAACGACAAAACTATGTCCGCCACTAGCCTCCCAGCTATGTCCTTGGAGGTGGCATGCCTCCTGTACCTGAAAATGATATTCCCATATAGGGTGAGCCACAGCCCAGTAGAAATACACTAAACCAACCATGGACAATGACTAAAACATTAGCAATTGATAGTTGGTCAACACTGATACAATCACATAAATAACATATTTATGTCAACGACTTACAAGTCCCAATTACTTTTCATTTTCCCCTTTTCAACAGATAAGCATGCTAGCTCTATCAACATTTCCACAGATATGTATAAAAACAATATCTCACATTCAGATAAGCATAAAAGCTACATCCACATTCTCAACAGATATGTATAACAACAATATCCACAGATAAGCATACAAGCTGTATCCACACTCTACAACAGATATGTATAACCACAATATCCACAGATACTCCCACGTCCCACAGAAGTCCAGGACACAACCCCGAAGCATATCCTCGAGGATCTGAATAGTACGCTCGGACTGCCCGTCAGTCTGAGGATGATAAGCCGTACTAAAGGTCAACTTAGTGCCCAAGGCACTCTGCAAACTCTGCCACAACCTAGCAGTAAAACGAGGATCTAATCGTTCCATTTTTCTATGCCAAACAGGCATCTAGGTTTATTATGAAGAAAACCCCAACTTTTGTATAATTACACAAAAGCCCCAAACCTTTACAAGATTACCAAACCAAGCCCAACATCTCAAAATACCAAAATTTAAAGACAAAACCCATAGAGAGGAGTAGGATATCCCTACCTCAAATTCGGAGCTCAAGGAAAGAAGATAAAGAAACTCAACGTGCTCCAAAACTCAATATTCTCGGATCAAAGTGTACCCTTCGACGATCAACTCAACTTTTACAAAGGCCGAAGGTGAGGAACTCACCCTAGCTAGATCAAAATCTAGAGAGAAGGCAAGATTTTAGAGAGAGGAGCTCTCAAAATGGCTTTTAGAAAAAGTAGGAGAGAGAAAGAAATGTAAAAAGTGATTTAAAATCACCCAGCGGATAACTCATATACGTATGACCCGCTCAAGCACTTACGAACTTCATTTCCAGATAATGATAGTCCCGAGACATTACTAGAGTTCCGGTTAGAAACAGCATTGATCAAGTGCCTTTCCAACAAGACTCACCGTCACTGTAGCTTCGAAAAAAAACAATAAAAGAATAAGAGAAAATGAAGAATGAGGTGTCATCCGGTAATCGTCCGACATTCAATCTGAAAAACAAGTAAATAGTATCCATCCCAGTATAAAAATCTGAGGACACCCAAGGTCAGCTCGTCCTTCTTGGAAAGTAAGTGCGCGGTACAGTTTTCCAGCTGTTAGAGGGTTACCGAAGCAACACCTAGGTCAGAAGGTCCCAGCAAACAGGCAGTAGCAGTGTGGTGGCTAAGTGACAGCTACCCTCCACAAGTCGGTCCAAATTTAAGAGGGCCACAAGTAGGAATATGGGCAACAGCCGCTGTACTTGCAATCCTTTCAACTACTTGTGTATGTTTGGAAGTGGGAGTCTCTTTAACCATGGAGACTTAGGTAGACTGGAGAAACCGCCAAATGCAACGTCTAAGGGGAGGGTGTTGTAACTCCAGTGGCTCTCTCAGCCACGATCTTCCTTGGAGTTCAGGTACGACATCATCTCTGCCAACAGAAGAAACGGTTCGCGGAGTGCATTAGCGATCAGTGGGTAAGTGGTAGGCTCTGAACCCTCAGCAACTATATACCCACTGCAACTTCCACACAGGGGAAACTTGACATTGTCTGCAGCCTCCCACAACTGGTCAACCTCGGCTGGTCGGCCTCATGTTGGTTTGGCTCTAGTGCTGGGTTGCCTCATTCAAACATCTGGAAGAATGTCCTGCGGGTCCTAAATCTTATGACCCTAGTAGCAATAGGAAAGCTGTCGTCGTCGCTAAGTCGGTGGAAAAAATACCAATTGGTAGTAGGAAGAAACCGCCTGGACCAGAAGGTAGTGTGGGATCGATGGGCCCTAAAAAAAAAGAAAAAAAATGAATCATGTGGTTATTAAATAAATATAAGAAGTCACAGAAAGTAATACAAAAATATTTTCTAAGTACGGATTCATTTCGGAGTCTCTTCCCTTACTGGGCGAGCGATGAGCCTCAACAATTTAATGCTGCTTGTTGTTTGGGCTACCCTCAGCTTAGACACGGGTCACTATTGTTGCGCCCACTTAAGGGGAAGCAGTTTGCAAGGTTGAACAGACATGCTCCTGACGGGTGAGGCCTTCTAACGACAAGCCGAGATGGAAGCTTTGAAGCGCAAGAATATACTGGTCTGTTTCCTCGGCCAGAGGGCAAACGAGGGACAAAGTCAGGCTACGAATGGGCTCCATCGCAGAAACAATGGAGCACTGTCGCAAAAATTGAGAAAGAATTAAGGTTGCAGTACAGAACAGTCTGTTGTTGGAGAAAATGTGTCCTCTTCCCAATGAGGAAGCTCCATGAAGCCTAATCCCTCCACGAGTAGAGCAGTACAGTCACGAGCAAACTGCTTGAAAGCTTCTAATGGAAATTAGTCTGGGCGCGGAAGGGCATGAGGACACCCTATCTCATTCCGAACTGCCTAAGACCATGTCGGTGATTAGACGACGCTAGACATGCTTTTGTGTTCCGCACGGGCAGAAATCTGGGGCGTATCATTAGAACGATAAAAAGGGATGTTTGGACATTGAGAATTATCGGAGAAAAATCAATGTGACGGGCCTCTGGAAAATAAATGGAACCACATAAATGCCTAGAAGAAGTTAAGTGAAGGAGCAGAACACGCATCCTCCATGTAGTCGACATAGTCTGAAAGGGTCTGTTAGTGCCAAGGCCAGACCACCGAGAGATGCAAGGAGGGATGACGTGCTTGCCTCGTGACAAACCGATCCTTTGCATCCAGAACAGGGCGGCCCTTTTTGATCAAAGACTTCATCAGTGAAGAAGGGCTCATTGCTCTTTAGGGATGGGGCCTTATAGCAGGAAATCTCTTATAGAAAAAAGTAATCAGAATTGAGGTTGTACAAAGCTCCACACATCATAGCGGCCCATGGATCGTTCCATGTCGAATGGAAAAGGTCAAGCGGGAAATATAAGTTCTCCAAGAGAAAAGAGGGCCAGAGGAAATCTTGACTGCCATTGCAAGCTTGACAACCAAAGAAAACACCAGGAATTTATGCTCTCAGCAGGGTTACTAGGTTAGAACAAAGAAGGAGATGAAATAGCTGACGAAGGCAACCAGTACAAGTCGCCGCAGTAGCCCGTCCAACTATAAATTCACAGTTCTCCTCTGTGATGTTGCCTACAACTAGTTGCAAGTCCTTGAAGAAATGGCTTACTAGAAAGGTAGGTGGTTTTGTCCCTCTTAGCCTCTCCTGAAGCAGTTTCCCAGTTCTAAGGTCATACTAGGAACCAAATTTTCTACGCCTCCCGAAAGGCGCTTTGGAAGCAGTAGCGCAACTTGCTCTGCAGGAGTGTAGACGCGTGGATCAAAGGGTTGATCTCTACGGTGT